CATTGTGTTTCTCAAGGCTCTTTGAAATTACAACACATCTTCTGCAATTATAAATCTAACCAATTATATTCTAGTTATCTGGCATTGTGGAAAATCTGTATATTTATACAAATTTTGCTCGTCATTTTTTTGTATAGCTTAAGAAGATGAATATTAAAAAAATATTTAAAAATAAAACAATAAAATTTATGTGTAAAATATTTCATTTCTATTTTTTTCATTTGCAAATAAACCATAAAAAAATTAATTATTTTAATTTAAACGCGGAAGTGTAAGATATTCTAAAATTATTAGCAACAAATATGAATTTTTCAATTTATTTAAATAATGTTTTTACTATAGCAATTCTAAATTCTTTTGAGTTGATCATTGGTCATATTGTACATGAAATCACATTGAGACGCGCATTAGTTTCAGAGTTGACGCAACAAGAGCTAATCCTTTTAATAGTATTCCTATACTTTATATTTTACTTTTAATGCCCTTGCGCACGGTCCCATTTTTATTGCGCACGTCAAACCTGTATTTAAATGCATTCATTCGCGATTAATTTATTGTGAGTGTGTATTGAATTCGTCTTTATAAATAAGTTGAATGAGAGCCTTCGCTCACTCGTGCAATTAAAAGCACAAAAAAAAAAACATACGACAGCAGTAAAACCGCAAACAAGATCACTATGGGCGCAGAGCTATTTGCCAGATTTTATTGTTGTTGCCTTTTTATGGTGGAGGAAAGAGCGAGAGCACCCATAGTGGACCAAATTGCTTTCTTTTTACCTCTGCCAAACGGAGACATTCAAATCGGCAGTAAAATGTCTACGGGGATTTCAATGCGCGGTTTTTATTGTCCCGAATAACGAGTTTTGATTTTGAATTACGGAACTTTTGATAGCACTATCAAATTTCGTTTTGCATTGCATGAGAACTTTCTGTTCAATATTCGATCTGCGGAGTTAGCTGCACTTGGCTGAGCAATTTGAATTTTTATTACGTCATTTGCACTGATCTTTTTGTTAAATCATTTCAATGCTTCTAAAAGCAGTCATCTTGATGCAATATAATTTTTTTTTACAAGGTAAAAGGTAAATCATTTTACTTATAGAATTTGCGACTTCCAATCCGAAATATTTGTTATAAATATAACATGAAATAATAATACCGCATGCATGAGTTGGATTCTAATGATTTATTTGATCACCATCGGTTTGTGGATACAAAAAAAAAAAAAATGGTTTACTCTCACAATCAAATAAAAAACAGCGCATTTGCTCAAACGAGTTAAAAATTTTCAAGCCAAAACTAGTTGACAGCTAAAAAATCACAGAGCCAAACGTAATTTTTTCCTCTTGAGAAATAAAAAATAAAAAAAAGCTACACTCCGCGTGAGAAGTGGCTGCAGAAAGTGCTCGATAAAAACCCAAAGCGTCATATAACGTATTTTTTCCACCGCACACCGGCTCTTGTAAACTCGATGCACAAAAGGCCTCTCTAATGCGTATGCACGAACAACATATTGCACAACAAGGGTGCAGTAATGGACGGTCCAGCAGTTGGATGCATAACATTTTGATTTCCCTCCCTCGGAGGATTAATCGTGGGAAGCTGGGAGGAGGCCGCGCCACCGGTCGCTCAGCCACGCAATGTGCAAATGCACGTTGTGTACTTGTCCCGCTCGATCATGCATGCTATTAGTGACATTTGAACCTGGACCATCTAAAAGCTGGCTTACATAAAAACTTTTTATTTTTGAAAATTTCAATGAATTTCATTTAAAATGGTATAGTTAATGATTACTTGGCCAATTAAATCTCCAGGAATCCTTGAATTCATACATATAGTTATATGAAGTCCTTTCAACAATAGAAATCAATTTTGCGATTATTAATAGAAAACTGATAAATTTGTAAAAACCTGATTCGACTATGCCAATAAGGAATCGTGAAGCACATTGCTATGGTTATATTATTATATATGTAATTTATCGTCTCGTTTTAAGAAATAAACAGTTAATAAAAATTATAAAATTATTGAAATTTTCACTAATTTTAGATAATTAAATATAATAATTTATCATAATAAAAATAATTTGACAAAATATGTGCAAAATCCTATCTGGTTCTTTTACAAGTATATGCCAGTGTGTTTTAGATGTTCCTGGTGACCTAGCTCAACGTTTCCAGAACCTTATAGCAAAACAACAAGGGGTGGCGACGGCGTATATAAATTCATTACTGGGGTGACCGGGGGGGGGGGGTGGGTGGTTTCCCGCGCGCGTACTTGTTCATTTCAACCGGTCCTGGATGCTGAAAGAGATGAGCCGGTGCCGTTCCCACGCTCCTCTCCCGCCGCCACCCTCTCTTTACACCAATTGATAAATTGTGTGTCCCTCATCGTCGGTTTGATTTCGCCGTTGTTATCGTGAGAATGGCACGCGCCCCGAACAAAGAAAGAGAAGAGCACGCCACTTTGGCCGCCAACAGCCACCCGCTTCTCCAATGACGCCGAGCATATTTAAACCTAGACAATTATTATGTTAATTGTTCCCTCGGGAGCCCTCGACGGCAACATCCCTTAAGAAAATAAAACTACATAGACAAGTGTTGCGAGTCAAGTGCACATGGATATGTTTATAAAAGGTCAATCTCAACTGCAAATTATTATTCTGCTATATTTTCATTGATTTCGCTGAAATTATTTATGTCATTTACTCATTTACTTTCCTATATCCAATGCTTTGTGGCTCGGGTTACTTACTTTTGCTTTGTATTTCAACTATAGTAATGAGTTATTTTAAATTAAGCAGATTTCATTTGTTTGATAATAAGACATTTAAGCACACAAAAAAGTATCTTATATAAACGATAATGATGAAATAAATTCCATAAATTGCTCTATTTGAAAGTCAAAAGCCAGGCAAAAAAATCGCAAATTTTTAAATGGATGCTACAAAATGTCATAATAATGAATTAATTTTGCAAATAAAATTTCTTACAATTAGTTGGACATTGAGATTTTAAAACTCTTAAAAGACTGGCCTGACCCAGTCTTAGTTTGCCATTCAAATTGCATGGTCATTTAAGTTAACCTAGGTCACAGCAGGCTTGTGGATGTCCCTATAAAAAATTAAAAGTCATGGAAAATAATTTTCAGATTATAATTTATATCACTCACTTAAAAAAAGAAATGGTCGTTCTTGTTGATTGGAGAAAACAAGATTATATTGAAGATAACGCATCAACTGGAAGGTTTGCACCTTGTTCAATTATTCCGAGCCGACCAAAATCAATTTCAACAAAATCCAATTTCTCGCGCATTTCAATCGAGCGGTTTGAGGGCGTGAAGAAATTTCGTGTGCCGCGCTCTATAAACAAACCGACCGATAAATTATTCCGGCTCGGGATATTAGAAGACGGGCCAAATTGGAAATGAGCCGAATAAATCAAATGAAACGGCGCGTTGCAAAAAGGTGATTTAAATTAATGCCATATTTAACAAGGAGAGCGCGAGAGAAGGAGTTTGTAGTAATTTCTTTCGGTTGGGTCATCGCGCGGCGGCGGCCGCAAAGAAATGCCCCGTGCCGTGGATCGAGAGTGAGCAAGCGGGATTGCTTTTTCTCCGTTCGACGTCAGCATGTTAAAAACTACTACCAGCTAATATATCAAGCGGGGGCGTGGTGAGGTGCACAATATAATACCTGACTGCTTCCAACTATATACGAGATCAGGCCCTTTAATATAACACACTTTTGTGTTTCTCTTTTCTAATGTGTCTATAGTTTGTTCACTGCTTGAAAGTTTAAAAGCAAAAACAGTTTATTGCTCCTTACCTGCTTCCAACACAGAAACACAAGATTAAAAAATAATTTGCTTATTAAAAAAAATATATATAAATTTAATGCTTTTTAAAAACATTTTTAATCATTTATATTTCTTAATATTTTTATAATTTTGGCTTTTATTGCCTTATTGAATAAATTAAAACCCCTAAATATTAATCACAGTTAGTAATGTACGATAATAAATTTATAAATAAAACTTCTTTCATTGATATTAATCAGATTCCAGATATTATAATGTGTCTGATTGATTGAGGTTAATGTATAAATAATTTTTTGCAATAATTTTCAACAAATTTGATGTAAATTAAATATCTCTTAGAAAAATAAGGAATTTATCAATTTAATTAATAAAATCCATTAGGATCTATGTTTAAAATATTTATTTACTTTTTGATGCAACGTGAGTGGTGTAAACAATATTAATAATAGTATAATTCGGTATAATTATTCTTAAGAGACGCATTCTAAAAAAAAATGTAATAACTAGTAATCAAATTAGTTCAATTGATATTGATTACTGCACCAGAAAAAAGTTCTTTCATTTTTAATCATTATGAATTCGGAAAACGACAAGTTATAATAATTATTTGTTTTTAAGGGTAATAAATAATATGCCCTGAATTAAATCTCGAGTGAAGCAAGTAAAAGGTCAACCCCGTCAATCTGCAGCACCAACTCTATTTGTACCACTCAAACCACGTTCATGCACCGATTAGTTTAACTACATCCGTTTTTAATCGCGCATTTATAACAACCGCAGCATGTAATGAGTATATAGATTAAAAACCCGAGAGAGCAAAACTCGGCTCAATAATTTGAACGCCGTCGTCGCGCTTATTAGCGGCTACTGCATTGTTTTATGTCTCACCGTCGGCGGCTTTGATGGACGCGCGCGCCCAACACCATTACGACCATTACACGCTGATTTAATTCCGATCGCGTTGCACCGCGTGCTCTGGTTTCAGATGTGGAATGTGTGGAACGCGTTTTGATTAGTGTTGTCTGAGACGTTCGAGCAAGGAACTCGCGGGAGGGCGTTGATTCTCAAAGCATGCACGATTATTAAATTTAACAAATGGGTAATAATAAGGAATAATAACACATCAGTATCATTCATTGATTTAATTATACAGACGAAAAATATACATTGTTTTTTAATGGAAATAAGTGATATAAGTTTGGTTTTGCAATCCTCACAAAAAAAAACAACAACAACAATTTTCCGAATTTTCATTCTACCTAAAATAATCCTTAATCGTTTGTCATTTTGCAAAATAAATTTCATTGATTAAAATCTCTCACTTCATTTTTGTAATAAAAATAATAATTCGCAACTAAAAATAAAACCAAGTCTTACTCCCGTTAAATAAAGTTTATGTACTTACTAAGTTTAGCTGTCAATATATATATTTTTTTAAATTTAACACCTGACGATGAGTTATTGGCTTTTTGGGATTGGAATGATTTCTGGTCCCTCGCACATCACAGCCAAGTAGAGAGAGTCGCACGGGTCATCATCCCAGTGATTGTATTGAGCCAAAAAGTTAATGCACCCTTCGGCGTCCACAGGCAAGTTGGGCTGAAACTTTCCCCAGTGGTCTGTGGCTATGGGACCGTCGGTAGAGTCCCAGGTCCATATTTCGGACAAAGCTCTCCGCATGCCACTCGTCCATATCCACATATTGTAAAATTCTAATCAAAACAACTCGATTAATCTGATTAAGATTCTCTCAAATTCAACCTGTGCCGTTTAGATAGGACACAACGGAGAAGAATTCTTCTTCTGTTTCGAACGAGACGAGGCTCATTGATTTCGCCAAACACGTCAAATCAGCCCCAGTCCAGGTGACCTGTTTCATTTAAAAGAAAAAATTGGCAATTGAAGTGTAAATATTCAAGTTTATATAGCAACCTTTGACTTTTCCTCGAGGCAGTAATGTCTGCCGTTAATGACAAAGTCACGGCCTCTTACTATTGAAAGTTGAAGCTGTTTTGAAGTAAATTAGTATTTTTTTTTAATTACTCAAAATATAATGCATCTTCATCAACAAAGAAAATGAAACTAATTGTAAGCTTAAATTTATATATTATTAAATTTCAAATTTTACTCTCCTAGGTTTTAATTCAGATTATTCTTAACACTTCCATATCTTACTTAGAATTAAATCAAGAATTATTGAGCTGCTTTAAATTAAGAGGTTTGACTTCGAAATTAATGTATTTTATAACCCATAAAGAAAAAAATCTACATCAACAGCACCTCTCTTCTGAACCGATTTTTTATATTTTGATAAATATGATTTTTTTAGAAAGAGTAAATTTACTTAATGCAATCTTAGAATTGCGAAAAATAAAAAATACACGTTAAAACACAAATTTCTTTGTTTATAAGGCTGCGTAAATATACTTATTGATATAAATACAATAATATTACATACGCAGGCTACAACCTGGAGTATAAATAAAAGCCGCATGTCTGTTTCCTGGAGCAAATGAAAGTGAACTGTGATGGTTTTACGGTGTGAAGATCAAATTTTACTGCTCAAGTTTATCACAAGTAAATAGAGTATAATTTACACTAATAGATTATCAGCCAAAATAAACACTTTGCGATTTTCATATCTTCTTCCAACTTCCAAGAATTCTTGAAGTTTTAATCAAATTCAAATTTACAAAAAAAATGACAGAACGATTTGTTTCAAGTTTTAGGCAAGGATGACTAATTTTAAAATTCTGAAAAGAAAGTTAATTTGTTTCTTGGGGCTATGGAAATCCAGATTTTGATTTTTGTATTATTTTATTATTTATTTTCTGTACGCATGTTTTACAATTGCATTTTTTGGATTATTATTATTAGTTTCTAGGTTTGACGAACCTAATTCATTCTGTAGATTAATATACTAGGTTAGGTGATGCAACGGCAAAATATAATTTTCTATTCAATAGAGAGCAGCGCGGTAACAAACTCTCTCTAATAAACACGGTCGGCGAAACCTTATTTATTCACGCAGGTTGCTCGGGGTGCGGTCCTCTCTTGTGGTGCTCAGCAATATTTTATTTTATTGCTCTCGGTCAGATGGACCGTTTGGTGCGGGTGTCTGTCTGTTGGCCGCTGCTAATGCAATACGGTCTAGCAAGGCGTGCCTTACTTTTTACTTTTCGCGCAGCTACGATTATTGCCAAACATTCTTTTCTTTTCCTCTCCCGCGCCTGCTGTTATCGCCAGGTGGATTCGCTGCTCGCTGACGCTGGTGCCAAGTCATTCGCCGCAAATTATTATTTTGTAACGTGTACTAATTAATTCCAGTGAACTCTGACCCGCGAAGCAAGTGAAATTAACCGGCACTGCAATAAAAGTCCCAATGCCGTTTTAAATGCGAACTATAATGCGTGACCGTTTGATTTATTTTCAATTAATTTTGTCTGATTTCAATATCGAGTATGTGCCAATGTGCATTGCTAATGACTCTTGTGGTTGATAGTTTGATGGTTGCAACACTAATTTCAATGCCACAGAATGAGAGACATGATTTCAACCATCACAGCTCAAATTATTAAATTATTACAGGTATTTGTAAAAAAAAAAATATTATTTAAATAGCTCATACAATCCTGTATTTTAATTTTTAAATCAATTTTCCAGGACTCCTTATTCCTTAATTTGCAAATAATAAAATACACTCATCAATTTTTTTTCTTTTTTTTGACAGAGACTAAAATGAATTTTTTAAATAGAGCCTATAATATTGTATTGAATAATATAGTTTATTGAATTTTGGAGCTTAAGTAAAAACAAAAATTGTGCGTTTTGCTTTACAAGAGCAGATCAAGCCTTTTAACCAAAGGAACAAATGAATAAGGAAATGTGACAGGTCCAATTAGCTGGTCGACCCGTCGAAAAAGCAACAGTGTCGCCGTTGCAATTGAAGGAGAGATATGCATCTGGACGAGTCGCTCTACTGCAGTATAAATCTTCAATGGAGCGAGCAAAAAAGACACGTGTAATTAAGTCATTAATCCATTTGCGTTTATCAATTGATATTCATTACGCTCGTTTTTGATGATGATGGGTGGCGTGGATTGATGGCACGCATAATTCAAGAGGAAGTTCATTATGCTCGGCCGCAGCCCAGCCGCAAATTCTCGACCGCATTCCTCTCCCGATTTTTTTCTTCGCTCTCTTTAAATATGATATCTTCTTTCTCTCTCGCTGTGCTTTTTTTGCCCTTGTAAATCAAACACGCGGCGAGATATTGTAACACAAGTCGTGCAATCAGAAAGCGCTTTACACGTGTTGTTTATTGGAAATTATTATTTGTGGGCCGCGCGCGAGAGAGAAATATCGGACCGTTTTTTTCGGCAGCGGTCCTTTTGAACTCTGCTGGCGGCGACTTCCCGTGCCCAGAACAATGCTGGCGTAACGAGAGCGTTTACAATAATATTTTCATTTTACGACTTGCTGCACCGATTCGGGCTAATTTTTACAACACTTTTAAGTACCGGTCCGCCGCGTACATAACTCAAATTGAGACGTCCGAATGAGAAATTAAATATTTGCAAAACATGCTTGAATTTGGCTTCTATTTTAACGGATTTTTTTTAATTTAACAAGGTAATGTCATAAAATGTTGAGCAGGATTTTCTCTGGTGGTATAATTGAAGAATATTATTTTGGAGTTTTGGTTTTTATGGTTCGCAAAGCTCATTTCTGTCTGCATTGCTGAAATTTCACTATGAAATTATCTTTTTTTACAACTCAAATTCCAAACATAATTTTGAGCTGAGGCGCCGTCAAAGTTGCAATACATTTTTGTCTGCATTTTATATCGTTTGAATTTAAAATGAACAAATTTAGAAAAATTTTGCAATATGTATAAATTAAATTAGTATAATATTGTATTTTCGGCGTGGTTCTATATAAATACAATGTCATTAACTCATTTGCAACATTTTACAATAGAATAATATAAATAGCTATTCTTCTTTGTTAACATCTTTATGAACTACCTCCTGTTTTTCCAGAACTAAACTTTTGTATTTATTGATTAAATGTTTGGAGAAAAAAATAAATTTATTAAAGCCCCTCAATACTTGCTCTTTGCCCCAGTCTAAGGATGATTAACAAGAATAAAGATTGATAATTATGGCAATCCGAAAGTCTAACCTGGCCCAGGTTTAATCCCCCCCCCCCCCCCATTGAAATAGCAATTTAGGATTAATTAAGTTAGCCTGGGCCTGTATAGGCTTTTGGATCGCCCTCAAAACTATGAAAAATTAAATTATTTAAAATTTATTTAATGTTATTTAATTGAATAAAACTATCAAATTGTATTTTTCAATGAGACTCTTTCAATTATCTCAATCCAGAGTAATATTGACCCAACGCAATGTAATTGAATAAGGTGGTTAAAATGAAAACGGAACTGGTAATGGTGTCTCGGTGTGTTGAGCTTTTGTGTCTCCACGTCAATTATATCGCATAGCACTTTGCGCAGCACCTTTCAAAGCGTTGCAATAAAAATGTACATATAATAATGCAGCCCAGCCCAATGCGAGCATTTCAACCTGAAACAAAAGTATAAAGTTTAAACTGGCGGTCCGTTGCTCCAAATGGCAAACAATGAAAGAAAGACAAAACGCCGACAGTACGTCTGCAGCGATCTCGACAAAGACAGGTGAAACGAAGAAAGAAAGGGTTGAGAATAAATCACGCTGCTTGTCATCGAGTTTTACGAGTTGCAAAGAAAAAGCAACAAGTGCGCGCGGTTCTAACAACAATCACGATTCGGACGCGAGCGCCGGCCGCGGTAATAAGCAGTTTTAAAATAATTATTAGCACATGGTGTGAGTGAGTGACTCTGAAAAAGCCACGCCCGCTGCTGCAAAGTCTCGGTCGTGAGTGCAAATAATCATAATAATCACAAGCGAGAGATTCCAGTGGAAAAAATGAGGTAGTGCTCGCGTGATGTATTGCTTTTTTCGCAACACCCACCTTCGCTAATCTCATTTGAATAATATTGGGTACACGTTCGTTCCTTCGAACAACAACCAATATTATTTACAAGCGTGGCGAATGTTTTTAATTTCTGCGCTCCGGCTTTCTTTTGTTAATTAGATGATATGCCCTGCTCGTGTGGAGAACACCTAAGCTCCGGTTATTATTTTATTGCTGAGCTTCAATTTTATTGGACCGTGAGTCGAGCGAGAGAGATAATCGATGTGTGTGGCATTTCCATTAACGAATTATGTGCCCCCGCCAACCTTGACATTTATCAGACTTGATTCGGAATTTAATTGGGAGCTCTTTAAACTTGGGAAATTTGCCTTCGAGGTGCAACAAAAAGATTAAGTGTACCTTTTGAAACGGTTTTCAATATACATCTTACAAATTGAGCTCGTTATTTAAGTATCATGGATGTGTTGAAATAAAAATTTAGATACCTATATTAATTGAAATTAACGAGTCATTTTTAAATTGCGGCTGACATAATTAATGAGCTTTTTTTAATTGCATTCACAATTTTTCATTATTGAGTTTACCTCTGGGGAAACGTAAATCTTTACTAGCTTTATCCCAAATTTATAGTAACCAAATTTTATTGCTCATTGGATTATAATGCATTTTGCCAATTTAGTTTCTAAAATTGACATATTATAAATATTTTGAATAAATTGTTGCGTCTGGATTAAAAAAAATGTCTTATGATTGAAACTTACGTTTGTTATACATTTTTTTTTTATCAAAATTTAGAATAAACAGTAAATTCAAGTCAATTCAAGCAATTGGCAATTAATGATTTAGCGACAGAATTCAAATTAGCGATTTACGTACAATTAGTAACAAAGTTTATTTATTGATAGTTCTTTGTGAAACGACAGTTTTAATTTCCTTAATCTACATAGGCACCTATTTTATTGCCTAAGCAGTACTGTTGCTGCGACGCGAGAGTAACAAAATTAAAAAAATGTCCTTTTGCTCTAAACCTTTCTTAATTCGTTTTAATTATTAATTTGATATTATTTTGGAAAATTGAGAAAAATAAACCAATTTAAATTGTAAATCACAAACTCAGCAACATTATTCTGACAATGCAATGAAAAAAAAACGATGAAATCGATTAATCTAAACTACTGCAATAATTACATAATTAGGGAACAGGAAAATTGTATTATAACTTCCCTTTTCTCATATCAGAAATCTAGCTATGTACTTCTGTCATAATCTTATAGGGGATATTGAAATCATTGTATTGCCAAAATTACTCAATAAACAATTTAAAGCATCTGAACTGAACGAAAAAAATAGTTTTGCATTATAAAATGATTAAATCAATCTCGTAAATGTTTCTAAATTGGGCTTTTTGTTTATAAATTATTTACTCTCAATATATTTTAGCTGCAGCAAAATTGATAGACGCTTAGCGTAGCCGGTTTGGCTCTTGGGTCAGAGCGTAATAATCCGCGAGGTGTGGCCGTTGCCTCATTAAGCACAGACGTCATGC